ATCTAGAGTCCAGACTCTTGAAAACATTGACAAGAAAAAAAGCTCTTGATTCAATTAGATTTAAGCTTAAATCCGATTGAATCAAGAGTATTTTTTGTTTGTCGATGTTCTCAAGAGTCTGGACTCTAGATCCAATGTGTTTTTTTCCAGTGGAATATTACTTGATGACACTGAGGATAGAAAATTGTAGCATTTTACGTAGGGTTTAAGGAAACTTCGGAAACAAAGGTGGGGAATAAAACATTGAATGGCGCTGTTTTGAGGGACCAAAACTGTCCACCGCGATACTTTATGTGTCGGGCAAAATACAAGGATAACTTGATATGGGGGAACCCTTATTGGAAGTTTCCGCACCCCTGAGCTAAACTGAAGATGCTGAAGGAAACAAAGTAAAAAAAATTCCGAGGATGAAGATCAATATTTTAACATGGTGGAAATGAAATGCGACAAGAAATCTGCCCCGATTGAAACTAGAATAGCGTGCATTTCGACTTTCACCGTCATTACGCGACGAGTGAAGAAGGCAATTAGACGGATTTTACCCGAATCTCCCTGACTCCCTTACATAATCGAATCTTATAGATTATAGACATGATCTACAATGAATAATCAGATAACTAAAGATTACAATCCTCTTTGAAATGATGAGAGAATATTTTTAACGTCCAGAGGGAAATTGATAGGATGTTTCAGAAGAGTGTGTACTTTAATTTACGCCGTTCAAAAGTAGAACATTAGTGAAAATCAGGCAACGTTGAATGCAAATAAGGCTGATTGGGGTTACAGCTGATGCTGCGATGAGAAATGCGTTCTTCTGAAGAGGCTCTGTACGACCAACTGCATGCCAGGGTTGCAAGTTCAGTTGAATTTCAGAATGCCTTCCCTGCATAGGCCAAAGATACCTAACTTCACTCCGACTTTCAGAGAAGAAAAATCGCTTTGCGGACATGTCCGTAACTCTTCGGGAAATGAGAGGGGAAACAACACGGATATGAAAACTCACGGTTTGACGACTGATTTTCCAGAGCCCAGCCTCGACACATTTAAGTAAATTTCACCGTTTTTTCTACATTACTAAATTTTTCAAAAACTTCCCATCCTGTTCTCCCTTCATCCGAAAGCAGGTCTATTTTAAGATTTTTCAAAGATCCATAAACGTTGGCTGCAAAAATTAAACACCGAGGCAAGGCTGACTGAGTGCTAACACTCATCGCCGCAGCATGCATACGCATTCTCTATGCATGGCGTGCGAAATCAAAAGAAAGCTGAACACGAAAGAGGGGAAAAACGCATAGGATATTTACGAAAACACAGGGAAAAACTGAACCAAACGAGGAGGTGCACCTGGTTTCGGTGAACTTGATTGCAAAAAAAAGGAAAGGCCTACAAAAAAAAGTTCCTCATTTTTTCCCCCGTTCGCCAGGTTAAATGCGGACGAACTGCCACGTCATAGCGTTCGTGTTATGAAGGTAGGGCACGTAAAAATCATTCACAGGCAAAAAAAAAGAAAAAAGAAAAAAAAAGAGGCCACGACAAAAAGTAATCTTCGCCCGACTTTAACTCCAAAAAACTTCAAATGAACTACTGCGAAAATAACTATGATGCTGATCTTGACTATGTTTTTTTGTCTCTAACATTATGAGAGGACTTTCCCCTAGGATAAATTTAGTGTTCGCTTCCATCTACAATGATTCGAAGTGCAGCCATATTTGAAAGTAGATCCGAAATTAAGGTTTTAGAATAATGAGAGCAGTCAATCAAATTGGATGGAAAATTGATGCCAAATAATATTTGTAAAGATCAAAACATAGGCGAGCACTAGGGTAAGTGTTTCGAGGTATTCGAGTATTTTCTCGTCATCACAAATTCACGAAGAATGCGTTAGATTTGTTGAAAAATTCCAAACTCAATTGAGGAAGGAGAAATTCATGTTCCGAGCAGCTGCCAAAATCATTTTACGTCAAATCGGTCATTAAAAGCAAATCAATCATTAGAAACAGAAGTCATGGTGAATTTTACAGATTTTTCCACCCTGATCCAAAACCCACTACTAGCTAGGTGGCGAAGAAGAAGCCAGCGCACCGGGAAAATATTGCATGATGAAGAGCATTGAAATCGTTTATCGAAAAATTCGGTGCAAGTAGGCAAATTATAACTTTTTAGAGAGCGAAAACTTCAGATTCACCACTTCATGGTATCTGAGTACTGAGCTCGTCTAGAAATTATGTGTTTCAGTTATAATAAATTTGAAAATTAGAATTGGCTAAATGGAATAGATATGCCTACATAATAGGGAACACATGAAATTGGTGAGTTAACTATGTACGAAATCGGATATAATACCTAAGAAGGTTCTAAAATCTGAGATTTAAAATTAAAAATTCACTTTTACGGATTATTTCCTTGGGTGAATGTCACAATTCCTTAGTGATCGGGGCCCGCAGTTATGCGATTTAGTAGTAAGTAGGGAAATTGATAGGTAGGCTCAAGATGAAACAGACAAAATAGCGAATGGATCTGGGACCGGTTGACAGGACTCGATCAATTCCATTTGAAGTAACGTTGGATATTATTGATGAAAGGTACCGGATATTAATCTTCTACCTAATTATTTCGACTCCTATAAAAACATCAGTACAGAATCAACCGTTACTCGAGTGGTTTCGACGCAGTCTTTTGGACATAGAGAAAATTCGCGTTTCAAACCTCCTTTTGGAGAAAATTATTCGCTATCAATCAATTAGGTGATTTATATTATATAGGTGATTTTTGAAAATAAACATACATAAAAGACAATCAGTACCTCCTATTTACAAAAACCGAACAGGATGAAGAGTTTGATGTATCCTATCTCGAAGCATGCAGGCGGGCGAATCAACCTTTAAAACGAAGTATACAGTTCGTGTGCGTCAAACTCCATTTAATAATTAATTTGAAAGCCCCATTTCTCGGAAATTGATTCGAGAACCAAATAGGTACCTTTCCGTCAAATTCGATCGAAATTATCTCAAACCAAAAATAGGTGCGACGAGAGAGGACGTGAAAAGGGGTAAACCGTGGGGGAAAACCCATTGGGAGAAAGCATCTGGCACGGTTTCTAAACTTTTACTTCTTTAAAACCACGTATTTAGGGAGTGTGCGGGCTTGGAGTTCAAGTGGACTGCATTTTGCAATTTGGAACTATAAATTCTGGCCCGGTTTAAATACAACGTACGTGCCATTAGTTTCCCTATGCACATAAGTATTTTTCCAGAAGAGCCAGAATTTATAGTTCCTAATTGCAAAATGCAGTCCAAATATGAGTACCGCTGAGAAAGAGGCACATCAAATGCAAGCAAATGTGATGAAACACGCCGAATCTCGTTGGCCAGAAGAAGAATAAAATTACTGGCGACAGTGGTTCAATATCTCCGACGAGGCCGACATTTTGCTCATTCGGCGTTCCTTGCCGAGGCTTTCACATGACACCGTGCGATGCGAGCTCATCAAAATTTACAATGGCGAGCGCACAAAAGGAAAATCCCGGGGAGTTTCCGTCACGGCCGTAACTGGCGGAA